GGGGTCCCGCCGCCCCCCCGCCCACGGGTGGATAGCCGCTAGCAGTCTTTACCTCCCCAGCCCCTGGCAGACCCAGCCCGAGCGTCAGCTCCCAGCGCGGTGGGCAGTGGGCAGCGCCCAGGCAGCAGGAGCACCCAGGCAGTGGTGATCGGGCGTCTGTTCTTGTTCCTCCACAGTGTGGGGCTTTGGTTTCCTCAGCGTTTCCCTGATTAACCTGGCCTCTCTCCTGGGAGCCCTCGTCCTGCCGTGCACGGAGAAGGCGTTTTTCAGCCGCGTGCTCACTTACTTCATCGCCCTGTCCATTGGAACGCTGCTCTCTAACGCGCTCTTCCAACTCATCCCAGAGGTGCAGTAGAACCCCGGGCGCCGCCTCCCCCGTGGGCCGCACTGAGCCTCCCCCCGGCTGGCGCCCTCCCGCCCCGCGTTCAGTCACGCGACAGCTGCCACCCGGGAGATGAACACTCTCCTCACACCTCGGGCCTCGGGACGACTTCTGCCTTTCCATCTTGGGTCTCTTACTCCTCTGGGACTCAGGTTTGCCTCTGTCCTCGGGTGACATCAGATGCAAGGCTCTTAGCATTTGCCCTCCTCTTGGGGAGCTCTGAGGCGTCCTTCCTCGGGGACTCCAGAAGAAAGCTACGCCTCGCCTTTAGTGCCATGAGCACCCCCTCGTCCCATTAGAACTCCTGGCGGTGCTCAGGTTGGGCACGAGAGATGAGCCACCTGGAATGCACTGCTTAGCAAAGGATATGCAGAATTGGCCTGCCAGCATTGGGCCAGGTGGTCTAGTGGTTAAGGCGCTGGACCCTCACGCTCCTGACCGCCGTTCAGTCCTGGACCAAGCGGCTTGCAACTCAGTGTGTGCGTGCGTGTCCAAGATCCCGAGAGCAGAATGGAGAAGGGACTGTAGCATGGCCCTGCCCCCTGGGGGAAGGTGGTTTCTCGCTCTATCTCTCCATAGAGCGCATGCACCCTATAGTAAACACACACACACACACACACAGAAGACTGCCGCAATGTATATCAGGGCGAGCCAGAGGCAGAACGGGGCTTTCAGCGAGAACAAGCAGGACCGGTGAGGGCTCGGTCCTCCACACCTTGCATCTTGGTGTTCCCGATGGGCGGGCTCTCTGGTGCCCTCACTTAGGTTTGGAAATGTGCGTTGATTTTGTTTAATTGCTACCATCGAGGAGCTGAGAAAATAAGGCCCAGGGTGAGCCCCTCTAGCTCAGGCGGGGCGGCTGCTGAAGGGGATGATGCGGTCGATCCCCTGTGGGAATGGCGGGTAGCCCAGACCAGCGGCTTCCCTGCCCTGAGAACACCCTGATGGTGCCACGCCTCGCCTGTCCCTCCCTTGTAGGAGAGAAGAAAATTGGCTTAAGGTTAACATTTAGAATCCGTCTTGAAATTCCATGTGATGTGGCAAGTATTCTTGGCCACGGCCTCACCTTGGGCTATTTTTTCAGCTCCAGAAATGGAATCAATTGATTTTTTTGAAGATTCAAAATGAAATCATCTCATGGCCTGTTTGAATGGAAGACCGTGATTACACGCGCTCTACCGCTGTGGCCCACAGGCGTGTCGTCCTGGCACTGTCTGTCCTGCCCTGCCAGGGTCTGGGCTCCCAGCCCGGAGCGTGTTCCATCGGGAAATGCTAGGGGAGACAGTTTTCATGATGGAGTGATCCTGGAACCCTGTTTCCTGGGCCGGGGCCCCATTCAAAGGAAGGAAAGAAAGACACTAAGATGAACTGAACCTGGGGGTCGGGCCCTTAGTGGCCTGTCCCTTCTGCTCTGCACCCCTGACTTCTCTGGGTCTTGCACAAACCACACCGAGCCCAGGCAGTGCCATGTGCATGTGCTCCTGGTCCCAGGAAGGAGCCCCGGTCCGGTACGTGCTGGGCAGCCTCTGTGCTAGGCCTGATGTGGCCGAGGCGACACCCACCCTGCCATCACACCAGCTGGCAGGTGTGGCTCTGGCCCCCAGAGGCAGCGGGAGCAGTAGTCACGGGGTTCCAGGATCAGTGGGGTTCCTCCTCACTTCATCTGAGTGATTGAAGGAAATTTCACCAGATTGGAATCACTAACAGATTTTCTCTCTCTCTCTCTCCCTCCCTACTTGTCTCTCTGATTTTCCCGTTTTGTCTCCTTTGGTAACATCCACAACCCATCCCGTTGCCTCCCGGCCCCGGCTCCTTCCTTCCTTCCCTCCCTACGTGGTGGTTACCGGGCGTCGGCCCTTCTCCCCTTTCCCTGTCCTGGGCGCTGGGTGGGGCTGCCCCGCCTCCCGGCAGTATGGGGCTACGGTCTCCTGTGTGTGACCGTCATCTCCCTCTGCTCCCTCACGGGGGCCAGCGTGGTACCCTTCATGAAGAAGACCTTTTACAAGCGGCTGCTGCTCTACTTCATAGCTCTGGCGATTGGAACCCTCTACTCCAACGCCCTCTTCCAGCTCATCCCCGAGGTATGGCGAGCAGGGCTGTCCCCAGGAGCACGCAGACTCCGGGGCCAGCAGACACAGGGAGGGCCACAGGCAGACGGAAGGTGCAGAGCAAGCGTCAGGGGGCATCAGCCCGCTAGGCCCTGTCCCAGCTCTACCGCCCACGAGCTCATCACTGTGGGCAAGCCACTTCCCTCCCTGTGCTCTGTTTCCTCTTATAAAATGGGGAAAGCGGCAGGGCTGACCTCAGATGACAGCCCAAGGGTTGGGTGAGGTCCTCAGGAAAGTGCCCGCTGCACCGGAGAGCAGAAAGGTGCCGTGTTGCCACCTCGCCTGTGGCTCACTGACAGCTCTTAGTTTACGGCTTTGGACGCAAAAGACTGTAACACATAAACAGAACCCATAGGCGCCTTGCAAGAGATAGTTCTAGGTAGCTCAGGGCAGAGGTTGTCTAAGTGAGACCGCCTGGCCGCACGTGTGGACGGCCTCATCCCTCAGCCTGGTAGCGTGAGTCCCCGCGGGAGAGGGAGCTTAGTCTTGGTGGAGCTGGGCACGTGGCCTTGGAGAGGCCCGCCTGACATGGGCATGACCCTGCAGCAGACCTGTGACGGTGCTCAGGGTGCTGCATGGCAGGTGGGCTGACGAGCCCAGGCAGAGCCGCGGTTGGAGCTGAGAGCTACCTCCTGGCTTCTGGCACTCAGCGTTTTCCAGATGCTGTTGGTGCCTGTCTGCCCAAGCCTCAGGTCAGCTCTGCCAGCGTGGGCCAGGTTCCCGCCACTGGAGTTAGGCCTGCACGAGGGCACACAGCCCAGCGCGGGCCAGGCTCCATGACCGCGAGCCCCTCTGGCTCCCACAGAGAGGCCTAGCTGCCTGTTCTCGCTCCCTGTCCTAGGTAACTTGACTTAAGTGACCTGAATGTGGCGGTTTCACTAAGGAATTCCCTTACTTCTCTGAAAACCACACTAGGGGTAGTGATTGTGTTTGGTCCCTTTAAAGCAGAAAGGAAAAACACCCTTTCTGAGAAGGGAGAGACCGACCCAGTGGCCGCTGTGCTCCCTCCTCCTGCCCAGCCGACTGGTCAGCTGGGCTTGCAGGTAGGCGTCACCACGCTCCGCAGGACGTGTGCAGCCCAGAGTTCCTCGTGGTCGCCAACACTCAGACCTTTGTCCTGTCTGGGAAAGGGCTGGAGCTGATTCAAGAACACGGAGGCAGGTCGCCAGACAGACCTCACCCCACGTAGGAGCCTCGCTTAGGACAGAACCTCCCGATGGCCACTCCCGCCCTCTCTCCAGAGTCGTCTTTTCCTCCTGCTAAAATAAGAGCAGAAGGGACTCAAAGCAGAGCCCCAACTGGACGCCTGCGGTCCCTGTGGTCACTGGGAGGCCTGTGGTCAGGAAGACACCGCAGTTCTTTGTTTTAGTGGGCACTGGGCTTCCCATTTTAGGAGGCGACGTTACGCCGTTTCCCTCTGTGTGTGCAGGCAGAGCAGCCGGGACATTTAAAAAGGCAAAAATAAACACATGTCTGCTCCCTAAATGTGGGGTTTGGTACAAACACCAGAGTCCTCATTCAAAGCGGGAAGCCTTATCCAGAGCCGCAGTTCTCAAGATTAAAATTCTAGAGACCCGACTCTGGCCCCAGAAGGGAAGTCCGAGGGAACTCAGCAGCCCTGGGGATGTCGGACGGGGCTCCATCTGGCCGGGAAGAGTGAGCAGAGGCAGCTGCTGCGGGCCGGCCCTCCCCTTGGCTAGGCCCGAGGAGGTGGTTACGAGATGAGAGGGAGCGAGCGTGGCGCGTTCCCTCAACCCTGTTTCCCTGGGTCCACAGGCGTTCGGTTTCGACCTTCACAAGGATTATGTCTCCAAGTCCGCAGTGGTGTTTGGGGGCTTCTATCTCTTCTTTTTCACAGAGAAGATCTTGAAGATGCTTCTTAAGCAGAAAAATGAGGTGAGGTTCCCGTGGCAACGGGAGCTCTGTGGGAAGCACTTCTCCGAAAGCCTAGTGGTTAAGGTGGCCAGATCCTGCTTGGCCACTCGTAGTTTCAGTGCTGGCCCCGGTGACTTGACACATGCCTCAAACCCCAGGAGGCTGGAGAAATGGAAGAGAAGGTTATGGTATGACCAAGCCCCGGGGACGGGCACTGCCCCTGTCTCTGCAAGCACTTGCTCCCTCTGGCTAATTAGAACAGCAGTGGCATGAGTTTCAGCGGTGACAGTGAGCTCACACAGGACCCTCCTGCTGTGGACCCCAAACCAGATTCACGAGGTTACCCCGTGTCACCTCAGGAGGATTTACCCACAGAAGGCCAGGCCAGAAATGGGGTCTGGCCAGTGTCCCGTTCCCAAGTTAGTCCTCTTGGTGTTCTCTCGTTTCCTTAATATATACGAGAGGGCTTCGGAAAGCTCCTGGAAAATGCATATTCGGGAAAAAACCCTTGCGCGGATTTCTTTCCCTTTTTTTTTTTTTGCACGAAAATAAGCCATGCTTATTTACTTTTTTACAAATTTTTGAAGTCCCCTTGTATTTGTATCTTTGGAAGATGGGAGGGACTTGAGCATAATTCATCACGTAGGCAGGGTGACAGGTAAGAGTACAAGCCCAGCGGTGCCTCGGTGCTGGGGTCCGAATTTTCTAAGCAGTTGCAGGATTGAATGAAATGGCCACTGCAGAGCAGAGGGGAGCTCTACACCGCACCTGGTGGCCTCTGGCCGGCCTGGGCCCGGGCCCTGAGCGCACCGCTATGACATGTCTGGCAGCACGCACACGTCACGCAGGGCAGGCCGTATGTGACGGTGTCCCCTACGTTTCTGAGTGTGCAGCCACTGCATTTCCTCCGCTGTGAGGAACGGCCTTCCCGTGTCCGAGAGCGCGTCCCCTAGGCCGGGCAGTCAGGGCTGCAGTTTGGGTCACGTCCTGCCGACCCCTTCCTGTCTCCCATCCAGCGTCATCACGGACATAACCATTTTGCCTCCGAGACGCTGCCTTCCAAGAAGGACCAGGAGGAGGGGGTGACAGAGAAGCTGCAGAATGGGGACCTGGACCACATGATTCCTCAGCACTGCAGCAGTGAGCCAGATGGCAAGGCCACCATGGCGGACGAGAAGGTCATGGCGGGCTCGCTCTCCGTGCAGGTCAGTGGGCCGGCCGCCGCGGCGGGGAGGCCCGAGGCAGCCGGGCCTTGGTGGCA